GACAAAAAAAAAACAAAAAAGAATCGGATATCATATCGGGATTTTGAACCCTACGTGAATCGAACACGCAACCTTCTGATCTGGAGTCAGACGCGCTACCATTGCGCCAAGGATCCGATGTGTTCTAGTGCTACCATTGTCCATTTTAAGAGCATCTACAGTGGGGCGCCTGGCCGGGCAGTCCGATCACTGTCCAATCACGATTACCCAGACGGCCCCTCAAACGGGCCTCAAATGCTCGGGTTGACCGTCACCCTCATATCCAGTTTAAATATGGGGATGTATATGAGAATAAGGCGCCCTGACACGGCCGCCATGTCGGACTGACGACGGGATCCCACGCGAAAACACTCGGAAACCCGGCGGTCTGAAACTCGTCTCCTCCGTCGGACCGGTGTTGCCGCGTGGCGCCGCTCGACGGGCCGTGTAGTGCCTAGCCCGACTATTTAAGTCGACCGGCGGCAGCGAAAACCTACCATCGACATTTTCCTTCGCCTGTCCACCGCCTTCGCTTTCCACTACCCTCCCCCTCCCCCGGTCCGCATAATAGCCATGCCCCATGACACCGGGTGAGGAGCGAGCCATTTCTAACGCCGGAGCGCCGGCTCGAGCTCCTTGAGCGGATGCGGGCAAGGCGCGAAGTCTAGATCGCTGCGAGGCTACCTCCGGATGCTGTGGATTCGAAGGAGTTGGAGGAGGATGTGGGGGACGTTAGCGACGCAGATCTGCAGACGGAGCAGCAAACCATCCTCGATTACCTCCGCTCGAAGTCGGCTGCGGAGGCCAGACGCCTCGTCGACAGGAAATGGAGGCGCAACAGGCAGCGGAGGAGGTTGAGATGCTCGCCTACATGGATGAAGTCGAGCAGGAGAAGGATGAGCAGGAGCCCTCCTATTCGGAGCCCGGCACCGTCGTGGACATCTCCGACGACGAAGATTAGCTAGGTTAGTACATAGGATTACTTTTGCGTGCTTTGTATGGATTTAGGTGGAGGATGCTGTCAAAGCGGGAGGAGGATGATTAATTTGAGATGTGACCGGATGCTCTAACATAAGTAAATTATTCTGGTACAAGAAAAGAAAAAAAACTGGCAACGCGGGAGGAGGATGATTAATTTTAATTTTTTTGAGAGAGGAGGATGATTAATTTGAGATGTGACCGGATGCTCTAACATAAGTAAATTATTCTGGTACAAGAAAAGAAAAAAAACTGGCAACGCGGGAGGAGGATGATTAATTTTAATTTTTTTGAGAGAGGAGGATGATTAATTTGAGATGTGACCGGATGCTCTAACATAAGTAAATTATACTGGTACAAGAAAAGAAAAAAAGGAATCGGATTATATTGTTCGGGATTTTGAACCCTACGTGAATCGAACACGCAACCTTCTGATCTGGAGTCAGACGCGCTACCATTGCGCCAAGGATCCGACGTGACAGACTCTTTCAGTAAGCCGTGAAATACAGGACATGTGGTCTTTTCTTTTGGACAGAAAACCAACGATGAAAATTTTCTTTTGGGTGACGATGACGTACTCCATTATGGGAACCACACCGGGGATTATTATGACAACATTTTAATTTAGGAGCTTGGGGCATAGAGTGACACTTGCCGTTTGGGCCTCTGATGTACCCCAGGCATGCACAAGTATTCAGAACATTCCCCACAAAAAAAGTCTTCACAACATTCCCACAAAAAAACCAGTTCTATTGGAAAATTCCTTTTGATCTAAATGGAAGGATACAGTATTTTCTTACTAGAAATTGCACTAACTATAAAATAAAAGTTTTAATTTAGGTTTTCCCGCAACTAAAGGAAAAGAGAATGGAAGAATTCTTCTTATTGCATAATAAAACAAAATAAAGTCTTCAGAACATCAGGCAAATGAACTGCTGAAACCACACAGAACCAACAAAACGGCAAGCAGAGCAACCACAAGGCTTTAGCTCAAACCAAAGAGAAACTAATGTGGCTTCCATCAAAGTTACCTCCAGCAATAGCTCTGAAAGCGGGAGAAAATGCACAAAGGAAAAACAAATATAAGAATTATCAGCTCATCGCTCTGGCATGGCACGAAGTGGGCCATGAGAAATGGGGAACCCAAACATCGCATTGCTGATTGATGCGTATCGGTTATCAGCAATCGGAGGAACCATGCTTGAGCTTGTTGACATGTGTGGATATATACCGCCATAACTTGGAAGAAACATCCAGCACTCAGGACCAAGGTATCAACTGAAATCGATGAACCTGTGTACAATACAATCCGGCTTAAAAATGACTCAGGTGACACAAAAATCTATTGCGTGGGGCTTCAGGCGAGCAAAAGTCCACAGGAACTCAGTCCTCCAGACTAAGCAATCTTCTCCTTGGTGATGCAGGGTGAGGGCATCTCCAGCCGCGCCCCCAACAGACCCCCCAGGCCACTTTTTCGACGCCGGCGTCGAAAAAACGGCCCAGTCGCGCCTCCAGGACGCCGAAAATCGCCGGTTCGGACCTTTTTTCCGCCCGGCGGTCACAGGCCGAACCCGGCGCGCTGGGGAGCCGTTGGGGGCTCCGGCGCTAGGGAAAAGCACGCCTGGCCCACACCGACAGGGGAAAAGTCAAGGGTTTCTTCCCCCGACTCGCCTCGCACCCCCGCGCCCTCGGCCACCACTAGCTATATCCCGACGACGGCCGCCGGCCTACTCCGCTAGATAGCCATTCCCCGCCGGAAAATAGCAGCGGTTCGCCGCGGCGCGCAACAGCTGGGCGTTTCCGGCCGCCGTTTCCGGCCGCGGAGGCGCGGTTTAACGGCGGGTACACGCCCACCGAGCGCAAGGTGTTCGGCGTTTTGACTGTGCCGGTGATGGACTCGGATGAGGAGGAAGAGCTCGCCACGCTGCTGGAGGAGGAAGCCGCGGCCGACGTCCAGGAAGAAGAGCATCTGATGGTGCTCGCCGCCCTCGCCCAGCTGCTGGCGAGCAATGAAAAGCCGCGTCGAGGTGGCTCGGCGCCGGGGCGGGTGAAAGCAAAGATACGGCATCGTCTGCACGGCTACTGCATGCTCTACTCCGACTACTTCGCCGATGCTCCACTTCATGGCGAGAGAACATTTCGGCGCCGTTATCGGATGAGCCGAAAGCTCTTCCTCAGGATTGTGAATTCCATCCGGGAGTTCGACAACTACTTCAAGTGCAAGATGGAATGCACTGGCGCTCTTGGATTCACCTCCATCCAGAAGTGCACGACAGCGATGAGGATGCTTGCATATGGAGCTCCCAGTGATTCACTCGACGACTATGGGCGCATGGCCGAGTCCACCAGCATAGAGTGTTTCTACAAGTTCTGTCGGGCAGTGGTGGCAGTGTTTGGGCCACAATACTTGAGAACACCCAATGCGGAAGACACTGCTCGGATCCTAGCCCAGAATGCAGCAAGAGGATTTCCTGGGATGCTTGGAAGCATCGACTGCATGCATTGGAAATGGAAGAACTGCCCATTTGGTTGGCAGGGGATGTACAAAGGCGCCAAAGGCGGTTGCAGTGTGGTGCTTGAGGCGGTAGCCACACAGGACCTCTGGATTTGGCACTCCTTCTTTGGTATGTCAGGAACTCACAATGACATCAACGTGCTGCAGTGCTCTCCTGTTTTTGCCAAGCTCGTTGAGGGCCATTCTCCTCCGGTGAACTTCGAGATCAATGGGCACCAATACAACAAGGGGTACTATCTAGCTGACGGCATCTATCCGAGATGGTCGACATTTGTGAAGACGATCTCAAACCCTGTGGCAGGAGGCAAGAACGCCTGGTTTGCGAAGGTTCAAGAGGCTTGCAGGAAGGATGTCGAGCGGGCATTTGGTGTGCTCTAGCCGAAGTTGATCACCAGCTACCGACAACTTGGACTGCCTATCTCAGTATGCGTCAGGAGATCCGAGACCCACAGGTGCATCATCAACTGCAGAAAGATCTGATTGAACACCTATGGAGGCTCAAGGGGGACGCCGCGTGATGAAATACGAGTTTTTATTTGTTGAACTATATAATTTGTATTGAACTATTTGTTGTTGTAGTATTTTGTTGAAGTATTTGATTTTTCTGTGATGAAATATGTGTGTGTTGATAATTGAACGCCGAAACCACGCCGAATATGAGCCTATTCTCGCCCATATGGGCCGTTTATTCGCCGAAAATGGGCTGCAAAGTGGGCCAATTTCAGCGCCTGGGGACGGGCTGGGGGCGACGACTGGGCGCAAAACCGCCCCCAGCGCCGAGTGTGTCGCCGGCTCGCCCCCAGGCGGCGCTTTTAGACGCCCCCTGGGGGGCCAACGGCTGGAGATGCCCTAACCATGCAAGACAGTGATGCAGCTCCCTGTTCTTGATGTGCAGCAGCTACACCATGATGCTGTCAGGTTTGGACATGCTCAACAATATTTCGGAACCGGACGGGGACTCACAAAGTTTCCAACGGAGGAGGTTCAGAACTCCACCTTTGCCGGGCAGAGGACCCCAACCCTAGAAACTCCCGTGACACCCTATACCTTGCTCAAAGCTCTAATTCCTCACGAATCCTGATCAGATCAACCAAGTTTTGTCCGACCAAATCAGTGAAAAAGCAAAAGGCACTACATCCATCTCCCTCCCTCTCAACCCCCCAAATTTGTAAACAGAAGTTTTATACCCAATAAACAGCCGTAATGCTATCTAGCAACATACAGATTCACGGCGTTTGTCGAGAGCCATCCATTTTCAGCGTCCAACAGCGAATACAACACTCAATTTCATGATGTTTTACCACAACTTCGTCTAATTCACTTGCTTCATAGATAGAGATGACAACAAAATCAGAACTTTAACCATTTCATACGTTTCAGCAAATGGAACTTGTCGCGGCGGTCAATAAGATCAGTGGCAGTTCAGTTTCAGTCAGAATGCTAAAATGAAGAGAGGATACAGAGACAAGAGCAGTGCTATGTGAATAGCTAGAGAAAATAAATTAACCTTCAATATCCCTAAAACGTGTCAAGGTTTGAGGTGAGGAGGTATTTTCCCTGCACGAGCTGCGGCATACACATCTGCAAGCTCAGGAACACTCTCCTTGTAACGGTCGATAAACCTTGATTTGAAGTACATCTCGCTCGCAGAAAGCAGTGAGCAATAGTCAGAACTCAGAAGTCCCTTGCCCCGCAGTATCTTCATGACAATGTACCGAGGCACGTGCCTCGTCTTCAGGCTGTAAGTGATCAGCGAGGGCCTGCGCACGATGTACTCTGGCTCAAGACCGACCTTGTTGATCAGGAACTCTACCGTGCTGCGCAGGTTGTCCTCAGATGATCTTAGGAGGCTTGGGTGCTTGACGACCGCAATTTTCAGCATGTCATCAGAGCAGCCAAGGGTCTTCTTCAGTAACTCCATTCTTGCACCAAGCTTCTCTTGGGTTACGCAGGAGACGGTCCCGAGCGCATACATGAATTGGCCAGAGCCGCGTGGTACCCCAAGCTCATCTGCGCGTGCGAGCAGTACCTGGAGCTTTTCTGGGCTGCAGACGAGCACCCACGTCCCACTGAGGCCAGTCTTCGCGAGATGAGGGATTTTTAACCCGCAGCGCAGAAGTAGCTCGACGTTGGGCTTAACCACCGTGTCAATGTCACGCCTTAGGAGGGCACCACCTCCCAGAGCTCCCCTCGACACGGCCTTGACCAATTCGTCGAAGGAGCCGAACAATGGGATCCAGAACCGAAGCCTGCTGGCGACGTCGCAGGAACGCAACGCCGGGGCGCCGATCAAGACGAGGCGCGCGATCTTGGAAGGGGATAGCCCGAGGTCGCGAAGCTTGGCGACGCGGGGGGCGAGGGTCTCGTCCACCCTCGAGCAGAGGAACTTCGGGTCGGCGGCGACGACGGCGGCGATGTCGGAGCTGGAGAGGCCGAGGCCCGAGAGGAAGGCGCGGACGGCGTCGGGGTTGGAGGGGGACCTGAGATGGGAGATGGACCTGGACGCCTTGAGGGATTGCGCCCGGGTGAGGCCGCAGGTGTTGACGAGGTAGTCCTGGGCGGAGAAAGGGGACTCGGTGGAGGTGGTGGCGGTGGCGGTGGCGGTGGCGGTGGCGCAGAGGTGGCGGTGGAGGGAGGTGAGGGGGAAGGTGGGGAGAGGGGAGGCGCCGCCGTCGCAGAGGAGAGAGAGCAGCCGCTTTTGGAGGCGGAGCATGGCGGCGGCGGCGTAATGCTCGCTCGGCGGGGTTTGTGGTAGGGTTGGCGATGGCTAGGGAGCCACTTCGGTGTGGGTACGAGGAGTTAATTTGATGCCATAGTCTTGGGCACTTTCGTCATTTCATATGAGCACTTCAACGGTACTAGTAGGGAAATTTTACTGATCTGGTCTATTCAAGGCGCCCCTCGTACCTCGCGGAAAGATCGATCTCGCACACAGGCGAAAGGAGGCAACCGCATTCCCTTTGAGTGTCGTCGGCGCCACTGCTAGTTCCCTGTCCCTCCGTCCGTCCCTCCGACAGCGGGAGGGTGGGAAAACCTCAAAGTTGTGCGTCGGGTGGGTTCTCATTTGGCTTAGGGTTGAGGGAGACGATGTCTGAATAAGTTTCCTCGGGCTCTGTTCGCGGTTAGGCGGGGCTCTTGCCTTCGTCTTGGAGCTAACGGGGTGGTGGATCCCCGGATCTCGTCGAGGTCGTAGGCTATGATATCTGTAGTAGGGGTGGCCATATTAACGGAGGACCGATGCACCGAACCGAAATAACCGGGGCCGAAACCGAAAATTTAGGTTCCTATTTCGGTTGTCAAATTTGCAGAACCGAAATTTATTCTGTAATTTCGGTTTTAGCACCTGGATAACCGAAATAACCAAATAACCCGAACCTACAGAACAGGCCTCGCTTTTCCTGTACCCACCCTGTCGATGCCCATGGCCGGCTGGGCCAGCTGGCCCATGTAGACCGAGCGCTCTAAGTTCTCAGAGTTCTTATTGGACCCAATTTAACAACGTACACGTTTGGTATGGCCCAAGTATTCTGTAGCAACCGGCCCATGCAAAATACGTTAATTGCGCTATAGTGGTTTGTGGTTTAGTACCACCTCGGGGAGCCACATAGAAAGGTACCGTAGGCAAGACTATAAAAGGTAGTACCAGCTAGCCATGTGTCTCATCCACTGCTTGTACTGACACGTACAGGCTCACTAAAAAGGAAAACAGATTCCCGTGCCTAAACTTCCGGTTTGTTCGGTCAGAACCGATCAAAGAACCGAGTCTTCGGTTCAGAAAAATATCGGTTACCTACTTATGCTGGAACCGATCGGTTTGTATTTTTAGGAAACTGATTTTTTTAAACTCGGAAAACCGAACCGAAAGCTTCGGTTAGACAGAACGCCCAGGCCTAATCTGGAGGTCGTCCGACACCGGCCGGTTTGGTTTGGTCCTTGGATGGGTGGTGGTTGTGTCTCCCAGGCCTAATCTGGAGGTCGTCCGATACCGACCGGTTTGGTCCTTGGATGGGTGGTGGTTGTGCGGAGACGGAGATTCTTCTTCCTTCTCATCAATATGATTTTTTCTGTTGTTGCTCTTTCTCTTTCTTTGTGATGCTGCTGCATGAATATTCTACTTTGCCCAGGCGGTTAATCCGCGGCTCCGAAACCGGATCTCTATTCCACCTCGAAGGGTCACATATAGCGATATCCAAAGCCACAGATGGCGAAGACTGGTGCAAGCGTGTTGGATGCACATGTG